CTCATCGTACACATTAATAGCAACATAATTAGATATAAAATAAATTTTATAATAAAAGTAAAAGTTACATTAAAGAAAGAAGAAATATATTCTCATTTGATGAAAGAAACATTCTTCAAAATAGACATAAACTCACTTGGTGATTTTCAATTTACCGACTTCTATATTACCAGACGCCTTTTCCCATTTATTAGCTATATACTTAGGCACTTTAACAAGCCACACACCACGACCAGCATTACTCAAATCTAATTCTCTTTCCGTGTGTGTGACACTCGCGGACATTATTGTTATATTTCTTAAACGATCAAGCTCTAAATTCACGTACTGCTAAAATAAATAATTGGAGGTAGTGACAGGTAGTGATAAGTGATGGCCTGATGGATTTCGGCCTCTCCAATCGATTTTTCTACGAATCGATCCTTTTGCCTCGATTAATCGATTTTTTTCAATCGATCTTGTAACTTCGATTAATCTAATGTAAAGATAGATTGGAGATTTCAAGCAACGCGAACTGATCTATCTAATAAGAGCACGTTGGTTTTTTATAGTTAATGCATTTCCTAACCTAAAAATTTATGTTTTGTATCGTTTTCATATGTACTTTTGCTTATTATACTTACTTCGTGCTATCGTTTTTAATATACTGATAAATTATAATAATGCTAAGTCTTTTAAACAGGTAATATTAATTTGTTAAAATGATTTTGCAAATATAATATATTTTTGAACTAGTGTATCGAAGTTGAATAAATACTCCAGATTCTTTCGTTTTATATGAAAACACGCGGAATGAGCATAATTTTATTGAATTTGAAGATGGGCTGTGTTTTCTGGATAATTATCCTATTATTAGGTATTATACTTTCAGACAAATTTGGCAATGAAATTTATATGCATATATTATTTACTACAGCAAATCATTAATAATCCACATAAAACGATAAATTATGAAGGAACGTACAACAAAACAATTACAGCGATTAGAAAAGAAGAAAGCAAAGATGGCAGCATTTTTGGAAATTGCAAGACTCAATGACAAAGATAAAGAAATAAAATTACAAGCTGTAAAACAGGTATATACTTGGATCTAAGAATAATTAAAAATGATACTCTTGTGATTAGCTTTATGAAATTTTTAGACAGTAGCCACCATTGATGTATTTAACAATTCAAACGATAAAAATAATACAGCAGGAGATAATTCTCGTAAACGAACTTGTGAAAAAAGTTCTGAAAATATATGTTTAGAAGCTTGTAAGGAAGAAAATACTGATGGGTCAGAATTACAGGATAACACTAAAAAACCTAGGTAATTCTATCGATTTATAAATAGGAGGTCATATACTGGAAGTAGTAAACAATAATTGTTTGTAAATTAGGATTTTTTTGAAAAAGTACATTAGCTTCATGTATAGATTTTTATTTCTTTTTCTATGTAATTTTCTAATTTCCTTGTTATTATCTAAGTTTGAATATTGTGATAGAACTCTGTTCCAGTTGCCAAAGACAGCGATGCACTACTTTTAGATTGCCTGTCTATTATAACAGTTTTGTTTACAGTCACATGTCTGTTGTCTTAATTTCATCAACTCTTGTTGCATTTAGTTGACATTTATTAAGACAAAAATCTATAGATGAAGTTAATATGGTTTTTCTATAACAAAAAAATCTTAGTTTAAAAAAAATTATTTATTACTTTTCTTATATTATTCTTACATATATATATA